CCCCAAAACCCCAAAACCCCAAAACCCCAAAACCCCAAAACCCCATTGGATTTGATTGAGTTAAGATCGAGGGATATAAATACCAGAAATTAAACAGAGTTTATAATTTAACTTTCTAAAATCACAAATGATGAACTCACGTCAAGGCAACTACTATTCTGAGAGAGAGTCAACCTACAGCAGAGGCAGCTAGAAGCAAGCTTATCAAGCTGAATACTAGGCACAACCTAGATAGAGCCAGCTACTTCCCAATGAGATCAGAGTGAGCATGAAGAGCAGATTCAAGTTTGTGGTCGACAATGTTATGTAGATTCTGAGAGAAGGATACCCCAACTGCAAAGTTGTCGGTCGCGGCATGGCATGCTAACTCACAAGTGAGGTCTACAGCTACTTCAAGAGAAACTTCACAAACTTCATCTATGAGTGCATGAATGCCAAAGCCCTCAACAAGGTTGGTGAGGTAGTAGATGAGTTCCACTTGCTCATTTCTAAGAGAGACTAAATTTCAGAGGCTGCTACTTAGTCAGGATATCAAAAGAGATATCCAAGAGAGGTGGGTCAGCAAAACTCTCACAAATCTGGCTAATTTCAAGCAAACTCAATCAATAATGGCTATCGCCAACCCAGATAATGTAAGAATTTTTTCATTAAATTTTAATTTATATAGTCCAGACCTATACTAACCAGCAGCAAGAGAAGAGATTCAATGGATATGGAGGCTATGGAAAGTAAGGCAGAGAAGATGCACCATACTCACTGAGACAAAGATAAAGATCTTATTCTGGTGAGAAAGGCAAGACTGATGATCTGCTTCAAGCCAATCAAGTTGGAAGAGATTAGAGGAGATACTACAAGGATGACAATGAGGCAAGAGGTCAAGAGAATGGATACTAGAGAACATTCAAGGGAGAATACTAAGGGAAATCCCAAGCTCAATTTGAAAGATCTGGCTTCTCAAGACCAATGAATGGTGGGGCAACCTCAAAAACCAACAGTAGCATGACAGGAGTTAACAGAGGCAATCAAGGACAGCAGAGGAGAGAACTCCAGAAGTACTCAGATGGCAACGGCTACTATGTTCCTCCTAATGAGAACAACAAGTTTCACAACTAAGGAGAGAGAGGCAACTAGAGAAATGGCTATGGAGATGGCTACAGAAGAAGCAACTACCAAAACTCAAATCATAAAAACAACCTCACCTTTGGAAGAACAGGATACAACTAGAGAAACAACAACAGCAATCAAGGCTACAATACTGGAGTTTCAAGATCTGACTAGGAAGGCAAGAACTTCAGAGAGAGAGGCCAGCCAGAGCAGACCACTGTTTCACCATTGATTGAGTGACAATGAGATCGACTTCATCATCATCATCATTGTGATTGTGGTGATTGGGAGAGTTTAGCTCTCTTGACGTCTCAATTACATCTAATAAACTTAATCCCTTAATTTACTTAATGATTATCAAACAATAATCTACATCCCTATCCTCTCTTAATATGATATCTAATATAATTATCCATTTTTATATGTCACTAAGAAGTCAGTATAAATTTGTCTTTCCATTTTTATGCTTAGCTAAATTCTTTTAAATGCAACAAGTAAGCATTTAATTAAAAATTCGTATTATATAAATATATAACAGAGTATAATTTTTAATTTATTAGTAAAATCTAATGGGAGGAAAAAAATCTAAGCCGGTCAACCGAGAGGTACGTGCTCATAAAAACTGCCAATCTTGAGCCTTGAATTCTTGTATAGGAATTGTCACCAGAGTTATAGCAGATGGTGGATGATGTGTTTAAAATCTTCGACAAGGATGGGTCAAAAACAATTGAAAAGGATGAAGCAGTGAAACATTGGTCTAAGAACTTTGGAAAGATATCCGCGAACGAGTTCTTTAATACTGTCGACTACAACCACGACGGCTAGATTCAGTATCATGAGTTCGTAGACTTCTGGAAGATCGTCAAGGGTTCCGGTCACTCCGAGGAGGAGATTCAAGAAGAGGTAAGAGTCCGAGTCAAAACCCTCGCCTTTAATTCCCCCATAAATATGATTTTATTAATTAATTTATAGTTGGAGCGTATTAAGAATGGAGAGTCATGGATAGGATTTGACGATTTGCCTGCCTAATATATGGGAAAGGATAAAAGATGAATATTTTATTAATTTCTAACCGCTTAGTCATTCCCAAATCTGACTTGGATTATTACCTTTCATTATTTGTCAGAGTATTTTATATTACGTCAATATTATAAACTAACACACTACATATAGTCAATAGGTTAAATAATCTTATTCAAACATTGTAACTTATCTGCGTCTGATTTAAGACTTTTCCCATCATTCTAATTTCTCATCAGTTTCTTCTCTATGGGGTTTTGGGGTTTTGGGGTTTTGGGG